ACTGCAGCTTGGACCTCTCAGGCTCACGCCATCCTTCCACCTCAGCCTCTTAAGTAGCTGGGACTACAGGCATGCACCACCATTCCTGACTAATTTTGTAGAGATGGGATCTTACTATGTTGCCCAAGCTGGTGTCTAACTCCTGGGCTTGAGTGATCATCCTGCTTTGGTCTTCCAAAGTGCTGAGATTACAGACCTGAGCTACCATACCTGGCCTTATCTTTGAGTTTCAGCCATTTGATTATGTGCCTGGATGTAGATTTCTTTGGGTTTATTTTGTTTGATGTCTACCCAGCTCTTTTAAATTGTGGCAATATATTTGAGATATAAAATTTATCATTTTTGCTGTTTTAAAGTGGCATTAAGTACATTCCCATTGTGCAACCATCACCATCATCCATGTCCAGAACATTTTCATCTTCCCCGACTGAAATTCTGTACGTATTAAACAATAACCAGTAACTCCCTATTCCTCTTTTTTCTCAGCCTACTCAGCTCCTTGAATTTGCAAGCTTATATGTTTTTACAAACGTGGACAATTCTCAGCATTAATTCTTTTTTTTTCCTATTTTTAAAAAATTAACCAGACACGTATAAAGCCAAGCATTATTTATTTTTTTGTTTATTTATTTATTTTTTGGTATGTATGCAATTGCTTTTATAAACACAGGTTAGGTAGGTTGGAATAAGGAAGTCCTAGTTCATCATGCTGGAGCTTGTCCTCGCTGCTACAGACTGTTGAAGTGAGCCTCCTTCAAGATCTGGTTGATGTGGGAATAAAGATCTTGGCATAGTACATACCCCTCGTGCAAGAACTGGGGAATGTTTGTATTGGGTTCAGTAACAATCTGGTTTAAGTTGCCTTCTGGTCCATTTGCTTTCTCTGGGATATTAGTGTAGCTGCTGCTCCTTTCCTTATCACTGCATGAAAACTCTGTATCTCGAGAATCCTGAAAGACAGGGCTTCTTTTACTCCTTTTGGGCTGGGGGCAATGAAGGTTGCCCTCTTTATTGCCATTTCTTCTTTTCTGTACAGGGCAGCCTCCCATAGTCTTGCCCTCGGAA